TGGGTTGAGATAAAGACAGTTTAATAGGTAAAGCAAAAGCTGCACATGCAAGCAAAGCAAAACAAGGAATTCATTCACTACTTCCCATGGGGAGGCAGGTGTTCAGCCATCTCCAGGAAAGCAGGGCTCCATCACGCGTAATGGTGACTTGGGAAGACAAACGCCATCACTCCAAACATCCCCCCCTTCCTCCTTCTTCTTCTTCCCCCAGCTTTCTATGCTGAGCATGACGTCATATGGTGTGGGATATCCCTTGGGTCAGTTGGGGTCAGCTGTCCCGGCCGTGTCCCCTCCCAGCTTCTCGTGCCCCCCCCAGCCTGCTCGCTGGTGGGGTGGGGTGAGAGGCAGAAAAGGCCTTGACTCTGTGTCAGCACTGCTCAGCAATAACGGAAACATCCCTGGGTTATCAACACTGTCTTCAGCACAAATCCAAAACACAGCCCCATACCAGCTGCTGTGAAGAAAATTAACTCTACCCCAGCCAAAACCAGCACACTTTGTTTGTCTGTTTAAAAAAAGGGCGTGAGGAGGAAGGATTGTTACAGGAAAATTGACTCTAGAGGGACTAACGAGGATACCAAACCACAGTGTAAAACATGAACATAAAGTTCAAATAAAAAAAATCCCCACAAAGTGCTGGCCAAACTGTTAAAGTTAAGGGAATTTTGAACTTATGGGTTAAATAATGTCATTGCTGCTGATACACTGTACCACTAAACTGACTGCCTTGCCAAATTTGAATTAAACATTTGATAGAATAGTCAATGTCATAAACAATTGTTCAACTCTCTCTCTCTGCAGATCTGGGCTTAACCTGAGATCCTGTATGCAGAATCAAATGAAGACTGATACCCTGGACTACAAAAACTGCATAAAAAAGCCACCCCTCAAAATTAAATATTTGCTACACTACAAAAGAGTGACACTGAACCCACAGATTAACACAACTAGGTAGAAAATGTAATCTGCTTGAACACATAGCAAACATCAACTTGTAGTTAAATGAAATTGTTTTCTGTTTTGAAACTATCTTCTTTTATTAGAACTAGTTTAGATAATTATAAAGGGACTTTTCTCTGAAGTCACCTGTATCATAGAATTGAGTATTTTAGTGCACATTATGTATTTATTTGCATGAATTGAGTTCCTTTTTATAGTAAAAAAAAAAAAAAAGGAAAGAAAAGAAGGAAGGGAAAGAAAAAGGGGCAAACACCCAATGCCAAACGTGTTTCTGAGGTGGGAAGGGGGACACAGAGGCGCAGGGGCG